GCTTCAGTCTGACGGCGACTGACATCCAGCCATGTCGCTCCACGTTAGTAAAGAAAATGTCCACCGTTCCTCCTAATCCTTCGCTTTATATCGCAAAATGAAGCGCCCGCCTGCTCGTTAAGAATATTCTTCCTTCTCACCGAATTCTGCGTCAAAGGCCCGGTCAGCTCGTGGCGTCATGGAGACTGGAAGCGGATAGAACTAAAATCACCGCCAGGTTCAATTATATCAGAGTGCGAACCAGAGGCTCCACAATTCGTATAGCAAGGGACCTTGCCAGCGAATGATATCGCTGCTTCACACAGAAACACCCATGCAGATGTTTTTTTTTCTGATGATGTTGTGATTGTATCCTCTGCTTGGAGATGCATAAGAGCATGGGTACGGCGTATGGACATGCAATCGCGGCTTGCATGGTATAGCGTGTGCACCTCCCGGAAGAGTTTCAACTAAAACCTGAGCCTCCCACCCCAAGATTGAAAATTGAGCTGGTCTCATGGGCCAGGGGGCTTAGTTGACCGACCAGAGGCTGAACAGCTTCTTGTTTGGGTGCGGGAACGAGGGTGAGGGCCATGGCAAGATGCATGCTGCCTCTTGGAAGGGAAAATTCTGGTCCCGACTACAGGCCACCTGGCGCATTTGCTTCTATCCCCTGACCATGTAGTGGCCAGGTTTGGCGAACGGCAGCGGACCAGATTGAGGCTTCGACAGTTGACCATTGGGAGGACGGAGTATATGGCGGGAGAATTAACCAGCATATTCTGGGCCGACTTCTAATGTCTCCCGCCTCGAAGACGAACCAAAAGAAAGATAAATACGAAAAAGATAAAGATACAGATAGTACGGCGGACTAAATGGACCATCTGGGTCAAAATTCATGGTTTTCTGATTATATAATTAGAGAATAAAGATATATAATTGGATAATAGTAGAGAGCTTGATTACTAAGTGACACTCCCTGTATTTTATCTTACTTACCTAAGTACCCCTTTTCTTAAGGGCACACCCTTCCTTCTGCTTAGCTTCTTCCCCTAAGCCTTCTCCTCCCTAAGCTAGCACCAGCCTACTCTCTCTTAAGCCTGCCTCTTCAAGTATACTCTCCCTAGTGGAGGTAGGAGACTCAAGTAAGTGAAGCCCCTGGTAAGAGAGGCCTAAAGAAGAGGCCGAGAGAGTAGACTTAGAAGGGAGGTAGCTTAGCGGGAAGGCTTAGGGAAGAAGCTAGGCCGTGGGCCAAAGAAGAAGGAAGTGCTAAAGAAAAAGGGTGCTTAGGTAAGGTATGTAAAGTATTTATCTATATAAGAAGGTCCCATTTACAATATCCTCCATTATTTTTAACTACGTGGAATTATCTCTTACAGGGTAAAAACGAATTATAACCCGATGGTCCATTTCGTCCGCCGTAGTTAATGAAGTAAAAAGAAACGGGGCACAACTCGATGTCGCGATTTGTACCACTTGAATCTGCACACTTTATATCACCTGCTGCATGGATGATGGTACATAAGCGACAAAATTTTGGCTCAGATCAAGATATCAGGCTAAGAAATCCGTCCTTCTTGTCTTACCCATTGTTCTTTTGAGAATGTGATGAAACGTTGAATCTTGCCTCTCCTGTCCTTCATGCATATGGAGGGGCAAAAAAAGTCATGCTGTCCGGTCTCGAGATGGCTCTTGTTACATTGCCTGCCGCGAAATGAAAGCCACTCCTGCAGCATGCTTATGTTAAAACTGGAAGGGCGGAAATCGAGACTCTTGGGGTTATACCGGCTGAGGGAGCGGGGTCCCTTCGCCGGCATTTTTTTTTTTGTCACCACCAACTGTTGCCTGATGCAATTTCATATCTTACGATATATATCCAAGAATAGCAATTCCCTCGTGCTGGCCAGGATAATTCTCGTAAACACGGCTTGCACTCAATAATGTCCCTACTTATCTGCCACGAGGGTTGTATGGGTACGATGCAGAAAAGCCTTGTGGATAACTGAATACATATGTGCACGATGCCTATACGCTTTCAAGAGGCATGGGTGTGTGCGAATGTGCAAAAGGTGAGAGAGGGTGTATCAAGGTTAGCAATGCCGGCAGAGTAGAAGAAGGTTGGGATATATTTGGAAATATACTGCCAGTGCCACGTTATTTCTATGTCCCCGGCCACTGATTTGATGGAGCGGAGTGACTCTATCGTTCCCTCAAACACTGGCTGGGCTTGGAGATCACAAAGATCCGGCCGCCATCAAGCCCGAGCGCTCTCCCGCAGCCCAGGATGGGCAGGGCGCAAACGCGGAACCAGGCCGTGGGTTGGTGTAGGTCCCAAGAGCGTCCTGGCCCGTACTCCGTCCAACTAGCTTGTTTGTTGAACTGCGCCATATTAAAAACGAGATAATAATAGCTAGTTATAGACGTTGATGTTACGAGCATGCTTGGATAAGGCTGCGCGAGAGGGTTAATTTGAGATTGAAGATGAACTAACATACCAGCCCTGATTGTGAGCGTCGTTTAGCGCGAGGCTACCAAGAATAGAAACCGAGCGGGTCCCTTCACAGCCTCCCCCACTTAATGGAGCCTCAAGGGACTCGGTGGACCTTAATTCGCTGAGTGGAGTTGAAGACTGCTCGTTTCACAACCACGAAATAATATCTCCAGCATTCTCGTGCTCCTGGATTCCCGTGCTCATTGTCTGTGGGGCCTTGGGAGCGGACTGGCACGGGTATTGACGTCAACCAGTGGAATCACTTATTTTTGGCTTGAGTTCGTGTGAAAGGGCGGATGAAATGTTGATGTTGATACCGGTTATTTATTATTATTGCTGAAGTATGTTGGTAAGTGATGGCCAAACCTTGCATCCCCCGAACGGGTCCCAAGAGTGAGGATCTGATGAGGCCAGTGTGTGCAAGTAACGATGCCCAGGTGTGGCCGTGGGGAAGGGCTGGCCTGATCAATCACATCATGGACATCACACACTCTTCCCGGGACGACATCTTCCGTCCAGCAAAGCTACATTCTCCTCAAACATTGGCCTCGAAACATACGGGTGGCCGGCTGAACAGACGAACAGAGTGGCTGTGCGAGTTAAGAGCGAAGAAAAGCGTTTAATCGTAGCGTGGTTGGTACCACCCTGTACATGTTAACTCACTGCATAGACCTTGTCACGTTGTGAGGCCAAAGTATGGGTTGTCTGGGTTCGATGCATCTGGCGTTGTGCCACTAAGTATGCTGTGCTTGCGCCGATCGCCAGGTGTTTGGTGTTTTGGGTGGTGGCGCCCCTTTCCTTCTTCCCAAGGTCTTGTTCCCCTCTTTCGCCATCTACACTGCTCCAGCAGCTCCGTCGTCGACTTCATGTGCGTCCTTCCTCACCGGTTGCATCTTTCTTGGCTGTTCCGTCTCTCGGAGCGGACAGCGAAACGTGGGAACCCTCGAGACGGAACCAAAAGCAGAAAAAGGGGCAAAGGGGCAGCAAAAGTCTGTGTTCCCGTGACTTCGGCGGCCCGTGGTTAGTCCGAGGCGCGCGCTTAGCTTCTTCCGGCGTTAGCGCGCTTCTCGAAGGCGGCCAAGAACATCGGAAGGAAGGCGCATGGACCACCTCTCCTTCTTTATTTTCCTTTTTGGCTCCTTTTTTCTGCCGTCCGCCACCGCCCTCGGTGATTCTTATTTCATCCTCACTTCTTTTGTTCTTTTTTTGCTTTCTGTTTGAAACTGGGAGAACGTCGCTTGTCCAACGCCCGCCCGCATACACTTCTCCAGACAGAGACCGTCATCTGGACAACCACAACAGCCTCGTGGTGGCTGATTGCGACGGAGAGGCCCATCATTATTATTACACGAAGATTTCCCATGCCAGATCCAATGCACGCCATGCATGCACCTCCCGTGATGGTTCCAAAAATAAACACTGCAAACTCAAAGCCTCTCCCACCCAGCCAGATATGAGCCCGTATCCAAGACCCCAGTCAGAATGCAAAGCGTTTTTGAACAAGAGCTGAAAAAGCAAAGTGCAGAAGATACTCCAAGTAACTCTATACCCTAGGAAACGATACCTGGCCAAAAAAGAAGAAAAAAAAAAAATGGAGCGGCAAGCTGAGAAACCCAGAAAGCCAAAAGCAATAAAAAGAAAAAAAAAAGAAAAAGAAAAACGGATGTATATGAAACTCCAAACCATATTTCCTGCCTGCTGAGTTTGTGTTTGTCTCGCTTTTCCTAGTGCCAACCGTCTGGCTTCTGCAGCTGGCTTCCGGCAATTTGTGGGCATCGGTCGACGGAATGCGATGCCAGGCTTGCGAGGTTGATCCCGGGTGTTGGCTCCACGCCCCCCTCTGCTGGCCTCTTCCTTGGGTCATGCAAAGTTGTGATACAGTCAAGGGACCACTTCGGACATGGACCTGCTATGATCCATGATTCGAGCTACGATTGCGAGTAATCGTTCGGATATTACTCCGTAAACCCGTATGCTCGAGCAGAGACAGCCTTCTTGTCTGAAAGGCCGCCTTTGGAGGTATCAGCTTCAGCTTTTTTACCTAACCTCCCCCTGTGCTTTTCCCGTCCCCAATCGTAGGGTCGTATTGTGCCATAATTTACGGATTACCAAGTTATTCTTATTTCTATTTTGGTCTTTCAATAAATTTTTTGGTAGCCAATACCCCTTTCGCAAACTAGCCCAGCTGCACTGATAGCTGTATATCCTGTAGACAGCCTCTCCTCCTCTCCAAGGCATCACTCCCAAGCCTCTTTGCCCAAATTATTTTTGCTCCTTCATACGAGCCTTCATTCAAAGCAGCATTGATCGCTTGCACATCATCTCAAGCTTCATCGACCGCACTTCAACGGTTATGAGATAGCTCAGATCGACCAAACCATTTCCGAAACAGCGCAATTGCCCCTCTTACCATTGATCAGGAAAAGAAAAATAGCTGCAAACTCGTTCTGGAGCTCTTCTTTTCAACATTTTCTGTCATTCCTTCTCCTCGTCTTGAATGACGTCTTGAGGACGACGAGAGCAAGCACATAATTATTTGCTGAACAAAAAAAAAGCTCTCTCCACGGTCAGTGTATCATAATCAAACTGCTAAACTAATCTTCCTCTCTCCGTAGGACCCTCCCATCGCTCACCGCAGTCTCATTATTTCCTGAGAATAGACTTACCTTGAGTTTCACAGCTATAGATTAATTCTGCTCCTGTTATTCCTACATCGCCGCAAAATACCTGAGGCTCCTCCGTATTAGCTTGACTAGTAAGTGCGATGAGCACCGCCGTAAACGCAGGATAGTCAAGATGCAATACTGAGATCACAATCCCTAGATTTTTTTTTTTTTTTTTTTTTTCATCGCAAACATACCCTGAGACGGCCACCATATAACATTACAATGCAATCATCTCGAGACAGCTCGGCCCACTGGGAGTCTCATCTCGCCGACGTGGCTCCGTGCTATTTCCCTCGACTTGGAGCTTCTACTTCCGGGCCAAAAAGGCCGATGACAATCAAAGTGGCCTTGGACCAAACCCAGGCTCTCAAGGAGCTCTGCGAATCGAACACCGCTGCGTTGCCAGCAGCCCTTCGCGCTACATGGAGCTTGGTTCTGCGTTGTTATACCGGTGCCGAAGATGTTTGCTTCGGATACCAGGACACAGCAACTACGGCTGTTTTGCCAGTAGCTCGACTGGCTGTTGAAGACGACACCGAGATGTCGCGGTTGATCGAGACTGCACAAAATGAGTACGAGAACAGCTTACCGTTCCACGGCGATGTTCCTCCCAGCGCAAATGGACCCGTGGGGCACCGCCTCTACAACACCATTCTATCCTTCCGTAGTGCTGCCAAGGTTGGAACTGCACCTCTCTCACGGGCCGCCAACATGGCTCTACCGGAAGATGTAAGTAGCCTCTATTCATGCTACTGGTAGTTCTTGCAATTGTGACTTGGGGTGACCCTTGTTAACCTTATGGTGTACTGCAGTGTCGCGTACGACTCATGACCAAGCTCATGAGTGGAAGAATGAGCATCTTCCTTGAGTGGTGGAGCGTCGACATGACCATGGAACAGGCAATGGGAGTTGCGTCCACTGTCGCAAAGGCTTTTAAAACTGTCATTACCTCTCCATCTATCTCGGTTGGTGCTTTCGACTCGCTTACGCCTCTCCACCTCAAGCAAATTATGAGATGGAACGATTACCCTCTGAAGACCGTCAACCGCTGTATTCATGAAGTTATCCATGATGTGGCCATCCGTCTGCCAGACGATGAAGCTATCTGCGCTTGGGACGGAAGCCTTTCGTTCAAAGAACTAGATCATCTTACTTCACGGCTCTCGCACAAGTTAGTGGAATTGGGCGTTGGGCCCGAAGTCAGGGTTCCTCTTTGCTTTGATAAGTCGGTATGTACACTTTTCTTTCTTTTCTTTTTTTTCTTTTTCATTTTTTTTTTTTTTTTTTTTTTTTTTTTTTTTTTTTTTTTTTTTTTTTTCTCGTTTGCTTTTGGTTGTTGGTTTATTGGTAAATTGCATATCGCGATATCGCGACTAATAAACCGCCGTTGCCTACCGTACGCTAACAAACTATCCGTCCCATAGAAATGGAATGTGGTTTCAATGATTGCTGTTATGAAAGCCGGTGGAGCTTTTGTCCCCTTTGATCCTTCGCATCCGATACCGCGATTGCAAGGTCTAGTCAAAGCGCTCGACGCATCGCTGCTCCTCTGCTCCGCTCACCATTCACAGCACCTTGCCAGTGTCGCAGAGACAATCCTGCCTGTCGACGATGCATTGGTTAAGGAGCTGCCGTCGGGCCCTGACGCTATCCGCTTCACTAGCCGCGCCAAGCCCAATAACGCCGCTTATGTTATCTTCACTTCGGGCTCCACCGGAGAACCAAAGGTCAGTGTTCGCAAACTATTCTGAATGGTCACGTAGTTTACGAGACAGATGTGACAGTTGAGATGACAGATGTGATCGAATGCTGACATGGAGTTCAGGGTACACTATTGGAGCATGTTGCCTTTTGTTCGAGCGCCGCCGCTCACTGCGGACCCCTTCATGTCAGCGAGGGGTCTCGAAATTTGCAATTTGCGGCACACACTTTCGACGCTAGCTTGGTCGAGATTCTCACCCCCTTAATGCAAGGGGCGTGTGTCTGCATCCCTAACGAGGAGGCACGACTGAATAACATCGTGCAAGCGATAAACGACATGCACGTCACTGTCGCGACGCTAACGCCTTCTTTTGTGGGCTTTATTGAACCGGATGATGTTCCCTGTCTGGAGTATCTTGTCCTTGCTGGCGAGGCTATGTCCCAGAGCCATATTGATACCTGGTCAAAGATTAACCTCATTAACGGCTTTGGTCCAACAGAGACGGGTGTTGCCTGCGCTGTGAACTCGAAGGTGACTTCAACAACCGATCCAAAGGATATCGGTTTCCCTGTTGGTGGGCATGCATGGGTTGTTAACCCCGAAGATCACGATCGGCTTGTTCCCCCTGGATGTGTTGGAGAGCTACTAGTTGAGGGACCCACTTTAGCCAGGGGGTACATCAACAATACCCAGAAAACTGCAGATGCGTTCATTTACGACCCCGTTTGGGCTCGTACAAGCGAAACCGGAGGCAAACCACGGCGATTCTACAAGACTGGCGATCTGGTTCGGTATAATTCGCCTGAAGGTTCTTTTAACTATGTCGGTCGAAAAGACACCCAGGTCAAATTCCACGGCCAGCGAGTTGAGTTGGGCGAAATCGAGCACAAACTCAACCTCGCGCCAAATGTGAAGCATGGCCTGGTGCTGCTCCCAAAGACCGGCAACTGTAAAGGCAAATTGGTCGCTATTCTCTCATTCTCCGACCATGTTACGGAGAAGTTTTCCAATGACCCAAAGTCGCTTCGACTTATCGAGACAAAGAAGAGGGATGAGTATGTTGACATGGTTCGTGAGACCATGGCTGGCCAGCTACCGTCTTACATGGTTCCCTCCATCTGGGTCTGCATGGAGTCTCTTCCTCGGCTACCTTCAGCAAAGCTCGATCGAAAAGCGGTCGCAAAGTGGATAGATACCATGACCGAAGAGGTCTACCATGAAGTATCCGGAGCGCAGCAAGTGGAAGCTGGTAGCAGCGAGATGTCTAAGCCTGCCAATGCAGTTGAGGCTGCAATCCAGCTCGCTTGGAGCCGCATCCTGAACATTCCACTAAACCGCATCAGCTTGGAACAGAGCTTTCTTAGCCTTGGAGGTGACTCCATTACCGCCATGACATGTATGGGCCAGTGCAAAAAGGCAGGACTTGGCTTTACTGTCCAAGAGATATTGCGGAGCAAGTCTATCCGTGCGTTGGCTCCATGCGCAAAGGAAGTCAAGAGAGCAGTTGATCTCAAGGAAGAGATTGATGTTGACTTTGAACTTCAGCCTATCCAGCAGTTCCACTTTACCGTCAGAAATGATGAGATGGGGCACTTCAACCAGAGTTTCTTCCTCAAGTTGGCGAGGAAAACTAGCGAGAATTCCCTCAAACACGCTGTTGATACACTTGTTGAGCGACATTCTATGTTGCGGTCTCGGTTTAGACAATCTGGACCTAATGGTGAATGGAGGCAATATATCACTAACGACTATAAAGCTTCGTGCCGGTTCAGAGTTCACAGCGTTCAAACGAAGAAGGATGCTGAGCCTGCAATTGCCGATAGCCAGGCCTCGCTCAGTGCTACCAAGGGACCTCTATTTGCTGTTGACCTGTTTGATGTGAGTGCTGGCCAGCAACTTCTATTCATGACAGGTCACCATTTAGTCATTGATTTGGTCTCCTGGCGTGTCATCCTGGAAGATCTCGAAGAGCTTCTTGTTAACCCTGCCAATCCTTCTCTCAACGATAAATCAATTCCCTTTCAAACGTGGGCTAAACTTCAAACAGAACACTGCCGTGATCTCAGTCTTTCACATGTTCTACCAAATGATAATATACCCCGTGCTAACTTCGCCTACTGGGGCACTGATGTCAAAGCTAATACCTACGGCGCTTCTGCTGCTGAAGGATTTGAAATTGATGCTGCCACCACCTCTTTTCTTCTCACGGACTGCCACAACGGGCTTCGCACAGAACCTGTTGACCTCTTTGTGTCTGTTCTAATCCACTCCTTTACCCAGGTTTTCACCGATCGTGAGCCCCCTGCCATATTCAATGAAGGCCACGGCCGTGAAATATGGGATGAATCAATTGATATCGCTAGAACAATTGGATGGTTCACCACTGTTTATCCGATCTTTGTTCCTAACTCTACATCTAAAGGCCTGGTAGACATTACTAAACATGTCAAAGACATTCGCCGTGCAGTCCCTGGCAATGGCCGACCATACTTTGCTACCCGGTGGCTGACTGAAAAGGGCCGTGGAGCTTGGAGCCAACACGCCCCGATGGAGTTGTCATTTAACTACCTTGGCCAGTACCAGCAGCTTGAGCGAGAAGGCGCGCTTCTCAATCCCGTCGATGAGTTAGCTGGTGAAGCTAAGGAAGCTGGTGGCATCGCCGATTATGGTATTGGTACTCCTCGATTTGGTCTTTTCGAGATATCTGCGGTTATTGCTGCAGGTAAACTCAGGTTTTCCTTTACATTCAACCGACACATGAAGCACCAGAACCTCATTCGACAGTGGATTGCTCACTGTAAGAGCTCCCTGCAAAATGCCTCTAAGTTATTCATGGGACTGCCCTTTACACCTACACTTAGCGACTATCCACTCTTAGCATTGAACTATGACACTCTAGAGGCTATGGTCACTGAAAAACTTCCACTCGTCGGAGCCAAGAATGTGCAGGATATCGAAGATGCCTATCCCTGCTCTCCTATGCAGCAAGGCCTTCTCCTTAGTCGCAGCAAAGACGGCGCCTTCTATGCAGTCAATGGTACTTATGAAGTGAAACCAAAGGCTGGTACCAATGTCAGTGCCGAAAAGCTTGCGGCTGCTTGGGAGCTGATTGTGCGGCGTCATCCTTGCCTTCGGACTGTTTTCATTGAAGGTCTAAGTAGTGATGGTCTTTATGACCAGGTTGTGCTGAGACAATCGCCCTTTGGTCCTTCACGACTTCGCTGTGCGAAGGAGTCTGAGGTTCTTTCGACTTTCAACAGCCAAGGATTCATGCAATATACTGACCATACCCCTGCCAATCGGTTCACCATATGTGAGACCTCAAATGGAAAGGTATTCTGTCGGTTGGAACTGAGCCATGCCGTCATGGATGGCGCATCAATGTCTATCATTTTCGATGACATATGTCGTGCTTATACTGGGGAACTCAAAGACGAGACCGGCCCCCTTTTTAGTGCCTATGTTGCCTACTTACAGACACAGCCATTAGATCAAGGTCTTTCATTTTGGAAGCCTTACCTTGATGGACTTGATCCCTGCTATTTCCCTGTTCTGAACGATGGTATCACTGTTAAGAAGGAACTTCATAACATTAAACTTGAGTTTAAGGAACTAGCTGCTCTCCAGAAGTTCTGTGACGCCCAGGGACTTACCTTGCCAAACGCTATTCACACTGCCTGGGCTTTGACACTTCGGGCATTTGTAGGCACCGAAGATACGTGCTTTGGCTATCTCTCCTCAGGGCGTGACGCACCAGTTGAAGGTGCAGATTCTGCAGTTGGGCCGTTTATTAACATGCTCGTTTGCCGCGTCAAGATGCCAGGAGATACAACGCTCCTGAGTGTTCTAGAACAAGTTCAAAAGGACTACATGGACAGTTTGCCTCATAAGCACACCTCTTTGGCAGAAGTCCAACACGCGCTTAAACTATCAGATACTTCACTTTTTAACACTTGCGTTTCTTACCGCAAACTTCCTCCAAATAAGAACAAGAAGCCAGCAATAGCCTTCGAGGAGTTTGCCCCGACACACGACCCTGATGAGTACCCAATCTCTATCAACATTGAGGCTTCGGATGAAGTCGTCGCAATCGACCTTGACTATTGGACGGATTCAGTTTGTGACAAACAGGCCAAAAATGTTGCCTCTTCATTTTTCCGTTGTCTAGAGAATATCACTCACAATTCTCACCTTGAGATTGCCAAATTGGACAACCTTAGCAACCTGGATTATGAGATGATTTGGAAGTGGAACAGTCTCATTCCATTGACAATTCCCGACTGTGTTCACTATGTAATTGCTAAGCAAACCGCCCAACGACCCGATGCCCCGGCTATTTGTGGGTTTGACGCCAGTTATACTTACAAGGAGCTTGACGAAGTCTCTACGCGTTTAGCTTCATACCTTGTTGCCCTAGGCGTCACTCCGGAAACCTTTGTGCCGACATGCTTCGACAAATCTGCTTACACCGTTGTATCTATGCTGGCCGTTCTGAAGGCCGGTGGTGCCTGTGTTCCTCTTGATGCCACCCACCCTATGCCCGCACTGGAAACCAGGGTAGTTGATACTGAGGCTCAAATCGTCATTGCATCTGCTGCCAGAGCTGCCATGTTTGATGATATGGTCCCATATGTCGTTGCAGTTGACGCAGAATTCCTCGAACAGCTGCCTGACTATGGTGAGGACAATGGGATCCCTGCTGAGCCATGCAACCCTGCATTCGTTATATTTACCTCTGGAAGTACCGGAAAGCCAAAGGGTGTGGTGCTTGAGCACAGTGCAATGGTTACTAGCGCTGAAGCTCACGGGTCTGCTTTGGGGGTCGGCCCCGATACAAGATTCCTCCAATTCGCCACTTATACGTTCGACAACAGCCTTGAGGAGATGTTCACCACTCTCATGCGTGGTGGATGTGTCTGTGTTCCTTCAGAAGATGATCGTTTCAATGATCTGGCTGGTGCCATTGATAGGCTTGATGCTAACTTCATGGACCTAACGCCGACAGTTGCTACTTTTCTGAAACCGGCTGATGTACCTAAGATCAAGGCTATGGCTGTTGGTGGCGAAGCTTTAACTAAGAAAGCCCAGGAAATTTGGGGAGGTTCAATTCCCATGCACAATCAATACGGACCCTCGGAATGCTCCATTAACTGCGCACATAATGGGGATGCTGGCACCGTCGAAGATGTCTCTAATATCGGCCGCAGTGTCGGCAGCGTTTCCTGGGTTGTTGACCCAACAGATCATAACAAGCTTGTTCCGGTCGGCTGTGTGGGTGAATTGTGTGTAGAAGGCCCAATCGTTGCCCGTGGCTATCTTAATGACGAGGAGAAGACGGCGAAATCCTTTGTTATAAACCCAGCTTGGGCAGCTCGTGATCCCAACCCTCGCGAGTTCCCTACCCGACGTATGTATAAAACTGGTGACCTTGTTCGCTATAATAGTGATGGGACAATGGCATTCCTTGGTAGGAAAGATACCCAGGTTAAGTTCAATGGACAGCGAATTGAGCTTGGTGAAATTGAGTACCATGTCAAGGAAAATCTTCCTGAGGATGCCCAGTCCGCAGTACAGCTTGTCGTTCTTGGTGGTGCTAAGTCACTCGCTGCCTTCATTTATCTCCAGACCTCTGCTGATGCGGATCCCAATAAGACAATCCTTCCAATGATCCCTTCAATCCAGTCATTGGCCAAAGAGCTGGAAGCCGCTGTGACAAAATCGCTACCTGCCTACATGGTACCTTCAAGCTATATTCCAGTTGCGAGAATGCCAATGACCTCTTCAGGAAAACTGGACAGACGTACCTTGACTATCTGGGTCAAGGAGCTGCCGGACGATGTTGCCATCACATATAGACTGGGTGGTGTAGGTGGGCGAGCCCCTGAAACGGAAGCGGAGAAGATTTTACAGGGACTTTGGGCGTCCGTCTTGTCAAAGCCTGCCACCTCCATTGGCGCTGATGACAGCTTCTTCCGCCATGGAGGTGACTCAATAGGAGCTATGAAATTGGTTTCAGCGGCTAGAGCCAAGGGAGTCACTCTCAGTGTTGCTAAGATCTTTTCTTCTCCCAAGCTTTGTGATATGGCCAGGACCTGCTCAATCTCTTCTTCTAACAGATCTCTCGGAGCCGACCCTATTGCAAAGGAGCCTGTGAAGCGTTTTGAACTTCTTCCACCCAGCGTCTCCATAAATGTCATCGTAGATGAAGTCTCTTCGATCTGCAATGTTGATGCTTCCAGAATCCATGATATATACCCATGCACTTCACTGCAAGGTGGACTTGTTGCGCTTTCCAGCAAAACTCCTGGTTCTTATGTCGCTCAAACTACCTTCAAGCTACCTGCTGACATTGATTTTGAGAAGTTCAGAGCATCCTGGCAAGCTGTAGCTGATTCAGAGGTTGTTCTGCGTACTAGGGTTGTTTTCACGGATTTGCTTGGATTCTTGCAGGTTGTTGTTAACGAGCCCATTGAGTGGAACACTATTGCTCATTTAAACGATATCAAAGACGAAAACCGTCACCTTCCTGGTCGTGACGGTGGCCCCCTTGTGAAATACACCATCGTTGGAGAAGGAACCTCTACTCCATACTTTGTGTGGATCGCACACCACGCATTGTATGACGGTTGGAGTATCCCCACGCTTCTTGAAAGAGTGGCCCATTGCTACAAGAACCCAGAGTCTACCAGCACAGGCGCTGAAGCCTCCTTCCCAGATTTCATTAAGTACCTGTCAACTATTGACAAAAAGGCGTCTGATGACTTCTGGATTTCTAAGTTAGAGGATCCAAAGGCTACGCCTTTCCCTGCGCTCCCATCCACTTCATATACAGTCCAGGCTACAAGCAAGTATGCTCATTCTGCTGAAGTTGTGAAGTCCCCCTCAAGAGAAACCACTGTCGCTTCCATTATTCGCGCTGCTTGGGGTCTCACAATGGCATTCTATACCTCCTGCGATGATGTTATATTTGGCGAAATTCTTACCGGGCGTGATGCCCCAGTTCCCGGCATTGAGGATATGATCGGGCCTACCCTTACCTCTATCCCTTCGAGAATTCAGGTAAATCGTGAGCAAACAGTCTCTGAATATTTACACGATGTTCAGAAGCAGTTGGCAGAAACCATGGCCTATCAATTTGCAGGCTTGTCTCAGATTAAACGACTTGGAGACGATGCTTCGACCTCATGCGAATTTCAGAATGCTATTGCCATTACACAAGATGCGGACGAAAGCGCTTTTGGATTTTGGGAGATGATAAGCTCAGGAACCACTGGAAACAACTTTTATACATATCCCCTTAATCTTTCATGCACTTTGCGCCAATCTAACAGGATTGATATCGAGGCTTACTACGATCAGGCTGTTATTTCTTCCTGGCAGGTAGAGAGACTGCTACGGCAGTTTGATACCATTCTCCACAATCTATCCCTAGGAGAGAATGCCCAAAAGAAGGTCGGAGAGATTGAACTGGTCAGCCCTGATGAAGTGAAGGAGCTTGAAGCTATCAACAAGAACGGTGCAAAATTCATTGAGCGATGCATTCATGAACTTATTCAAGAGCAGGCCAAACTACGGCCGCAAGCAGAGGCTATCTGCTCTTGGGATGGATCGTTCACCTATAGGGAGCTTGACAATATGTCAACTGCCCTCGCGCATCACCTCATTGAGTTAGGTGTAGGATCAAACCCTGAGGTTTTTGTCCCTATTTGTTTCGAGAAGTCAGCATTTGCAATTATTTCAATGCTGGCAATTTTTAAAGCTGGCGGAGCGTTCGTCACTATCGATCCGGAGCACCCAATTTCCCGACTCCAAGGCATTATCGCTGATGTGGAGGCATTCCTTATTCTTTGTTCGCCAAAGCATCAAGAACTGTGTGATTCTGTCGCACCCCAAGCGCTGGCAATCGATCTTGAGATGCTTCAGCAACTGCCAAAGCGTCATCAGCTAACTCCTAAGGTCCCAGCCAGCAACGCAGCCTATATAATATTTACATCTGGGACCACAGGAACACCCAAAGGGACTTTAAGTAAGTCTATCATCTAAACAATTCTAATAGCTTTGGTATGTCTAACAGGTATATAGTTGAACATTCCGCATATTGCTCCTCTGCTGCTGCCCACGCACCAGCATTAGGAATTACAGCAGAGTCCCGCACTCTTCAATTTGCATCGTATACTTTTGATGCCTGCTGCCCTGAGATTCTAACAACTCTTATTGTTGGTGGATGTGTTTGCGTTCCAAGCGACTGGGAACGACTTAACGATATCAGCAACTATATCCGGGACAAACTCGTGTCAAATGCCACCTTAACCCCATCTTTTGTTCAATTGATGAATCCAGACGACGTTCCGAACCTGAAATACCTTGCACTTGTTGGAGAGGCCATGTCATCTGCACATGTAGCAAATTGGGCTGGAAGATTGAATTTGCTAAATGGATACGGGCCTAGCGAATGCTCAGTTTCAGCGGTCATCAATAGTAAGATGGACGTTAAAAGCAATCACAAAAACATTGGCCGTCCACTCGACCGGTGCTGGATTGTTGATCCTGTTAACCATGATAGGCTGGTGCCAATTGGAGCCGTTGGAGAGCTATTAATAGAGGGTGCTACTCTTTCAAGGGGCTACCTCAAGAGAGACGATAAGACGAAGGAGGTGTTTATACAAAATCCAAAATGGGCAAAGCAATATAATGGTGCCGCACGGAGAATGTATAAGACTGGTGACCTTGTTAAATACGATCCGAATGGCTCTATGAATCTCGTTTTCATGGGCCGTAAAGATACCCAAGCTAAAGTTCGCGGTCAACGGCTAGAACTTGACGAAGTTGAGCATCACCTTGGTGCCGATAATCTCATCCAGCATGCCCTCGTGGCAGTCCCGTCGAAGGGTTTCGCTGCTAAGAAACTCACGGCTGCAGTTACATTCCATAGCCTTACTTCTTCTTTGGATGCTGCTACTCCTCTGCAGGTCATCAGCTCCGAAAGGGCTATTCAAATGGCATCGGAAGCTCGTGAGCGACTGCGAAAGAGGCTTCCCGGCTACATGGTTCCTTCTAAATGGGTTGTTTTTCACAAACTACCATTGATGTCTTCCGGAAAACTCAACAGGAGACAAATCGTTACTGTTATGGAGAAAATGGAGGACAGCCCAGAAGCTACTCCCACGACCACCTCTGACTCTCCTGATACCCATTCAGCCAAAGCGGTCGAAACTGCTCCTCAAATTGATATTCGTGAAATTCTCTGGAAGGTCTGGAGTCAGATACTCAACTTACCAATGGAAGAAGCCGATATGAATTCCTCATTCCTTCATTTGGTATGTATATTTCTCTTGCAAATTCGCAGTAAGTAGTTTACTAACTCAATATTAGGGTGGTGACAGTATTTCTGCCATGCAAGTCATGGCTAGGTGCCGCTCTCAGGGTATTACTGCAAGTGTGCAGGATATCATGCAGAGTAAATCAATTACAGACTTGACAACTCGAGTTAAGGTGACAAAATCGCTTGCGAGCGCACCTGTGAATGAAACAAAAACAGTTGAGAACGGAAAGCCGTTTAGGCTTTCTCCCATCCAGCAGGTCTACCTTGACAATGCTGGAGACAATTGGAGGCAATTTAACCAAAGCGTTTTGCTGAAGGTTACCAAAAGGAAGAGCAATGATGTTATTTCCCGAGCTATGGACCAGCTGATAAGTCTTCACCCCATGCTACATGCTCGATTCCAGAGAAATAAGAATGGAGAGTGGCGTCAGCATATCAGCAGTGACTTGAAGGGATCACTCAGATTGCGAACACATTCTGATGCACGATGTGGCCAGATGGGTTCTTTGATTGAACAGAGCCAGAAGGCTTTAGACATAGAAAATGGGCCCCTAGTTGCGGTTGACATCTTCTCTCTGCCTGGGTCTGAGACTCAGATGTCGATAGCAATTCATCATCTTGTCATTGATGTGGTCTCATGGAGAATTGTCCTCCAAGACCTCGAAGACCTACTCAATGGTGCATCAGTTACTCGACAAGACCTGACCTTCCAATCCTGGTGCGAATTGCAGATACAGAATGCTCAGGAAGACAGCGTTAAACGTGTCATTCCTGCAACTACTGTCCCACCAGCAGACCTTACTTACTGGGGGATGGCTGGAAAGTCCAACACCTTCGGTGAAGTTCTAACTGAAGAATTTGAATTAGAGCAATCAACCACGACCCGTATTCTCGACGCTTGCCAGAGACAAATTGGGGCTGACCTGATTGATGTTCTTCTTGCAACTATTCTTCTCTCCTTCCGTCAAGAATTTACTAATCGTCGCGTGCCACCGGCGGTCTTTAACGAAGGCCATGGTAGAGAGCCCTGGGACTCCAGCTGTGACCCATCATCTATAGTTGGATGGTTCACCACCATGAGTCCTGTATACCTTCCAGCTGATGCTGACACTGATTCTAGTAAGTTTTGGTATCATTTGGTATGTTTAAGTCGGAGATTGTACTGGCTCTAACCATATTTGCATAGACTATTCGTTTATCGACACCATTCGATGGGTTCAGGACTTCCGATCCAGGACTCCTGGGAAGGGCAGACCATATTTTGCTTGCCGCCAGCTAACCGAAGCCGGAAAAGAAGCATTTGGAAGCCATTGGCCGATGGAAGTTGCTTTCAATTACTTGGGACAGATGCAAGCAAACAGCCAGACGGAGTCTCTCCTGGAACCAGTTGACGGAGCGGGTGGGCAATCAGTCAATTCCCTTTCTGATATTGGCCCCAATGTTCCTCGTTTCGCACTCTTTGAAATATCGACGGTCGTAGAACAGGGAATCTTGAAATTGTCCTTCACTTACAATAAAAATATGCATCGAAGACAAGGCATTCAAGGTTGGTTCTCAAAGTGCCAAACTCTACTTGAGAGTACTTACCAGCTGTCACAAATGCAAACATTCGCACATGCACAATTCCCACGTTTACCCCTGGCTTTTGGCAGTTCAAGGAGAATTTCCGAAGAGCTTCCTTCCCTGGGTGTTCAATCTATGAACGACATCGAAGATGCCTATATGATTTCCCCAATGCAACGTGGCATCCTTATCAGCCAGCTGAAGGACCCCGAGAAATATGCATATCATTCCGTTTTTGAGGTGAAATCAAATAAGAGAGGCCACCGTATCAACCTTAAGCTACTGGAAGCAGCCTGGCAGGCCGTCGTTCGCCGCCATAGTGCTCTCCGAACTGTATTCATCGACAGTGTGTCTGGCAACAACCTGATGGACCAAGTGGTTTTGAAGGAGTTCCACGCACGAACCCTTCTGCGAGAGCATTCGAATGAAGATTACAACGCTGCTATTGAAAACCTTGAGCCACTGGATTACACTGAGAAGCAACCACCACACCGTATGACGCTCTGTCAAACGCCTAGCGGACGAGTTGTCTGCAAACTCGAGATCAGCCATGCAGTCTCCGACGGCTCTTCGATGATGAATATGCTGAACGATTTGTCCGCTGCATATGCCTCTACTTCAGATTTGGGTACCGCAATGCCGTACAGTGACTTCATTGCTCATCTCCAATTAACCTCAAAGGAAGCTGGTGTTGCATACTGGAAAACATACCTTAGTGGTCTTGAACCATGTACACTGCCTTCACTGGCTCCAGTTCCACCACCAAAGGAGAGAACAGTAGGGGAATATGTTATGAAGCTTCCCATAGGATCCGAGCTGCAATCCTTCTGTAAGCAGGAAGGGCTTACTCAGTCGAATGTCCTTCAACTAGTTTGGGGACTTGTACTCCGCGCCTATACCGGCTCTGATGAAGTCTGCTTTGGATACGTCGCTTCCGGACGTGATCTACCAATAGACGGGATTTATGAAGCTGTTGGCGCTTTCATTAACATGCTGATATGCCGCCTGAACTTGACAGACAACTCTGTTCTCATTGATACTCTCCAAAAGACCCAATCTGATTATATGCAGAGTATCAGCTACCAAAACTGCTCTCTAGCAGAGGTGCAGCATGAGCTGGGCTTAGGAGACACTGCCTTGTTTAACACTGTCTTTACATTCCAGAAGCGACCAAGCTCTGATGATACGGAAGATACACTCCTTTCGTTTGAGTCGATTGGGGCCACTGATCCTAACGAGTTTAACATGTCCATCAACATTGCCGCCATAGACTCTGATCTTGAAATTGATTTTGGTTATTGGTCAGATACTGTATCTGATGCCCATGCCGAGAACATTGCCAATACATTCAAACAAATCCTTAGCGATATTATTGAAAATGGCGTTGATAGACCTCTTGGAGATGTTAACCACTTTGGTGAGCATAGCTACCAGCAAGTCCGTTCCTGGAATGCCCAGAGCCCCAAGGTCGTTGACAAGTGTGTCCATGAAATCATCGAGGAGCAAGCCATGCTCCGACCACGTTCGGCTCCTGCAATCTGTGCATGGGATGCAACTTTCACTTATTCAGAGCTGGATGCTGCCGCATCTCGTGTCGCTGCACAGCTGATGAATCTTGGAGTTGGGCCCGATGTTTATGTGCCTTTGTGTTTTGAGAAATCTGCGTGGGCAATTGTGGCCCAGTATGGTATTCTTAAGGCCGGCGGCGCCTTCGTTTCACTCGATCCTTCTCATCCGGAACAAAGATTGGCGAACCTGATAGAAGATGTTGGTGCTGAAGTCGTTTTATGCTCTCCTCGTCTTCACGATAAGATTAGAAAGATTGCTAAGAAGGCAGTCGTCTTGGACTCAAAGACGGTTCAACAATTCCCAAAGCAACCTTCACAGCAACCAGAAAACTACCCGGACCCATCTAATGCTGCGTACATTATCTTTACCTCTGGAACCACAGGTAAACCAAAGGGAACCGTTATCGAGCATGCTGCTATCTGTACTGGATCCGATGCTCATGGCAAAGCTCTTTTGATGGACAGCTCTAGTCGTGTCCTACAATTTGCATCCTACACCTTTGATGCCAGTGTCACCGAGATACTCACTGCGCTTCAAGTTGGTGCAACCATATACGTTCCCAGCGACGAGGAGCGGATGAACGACCTGCAAGATGTTATCGCAAAGGGCAAAGTGAATTGGACACTTCTAACCCCTTCAGTTCTTAGCACTTTGAAACCCCAAAAGGTCCCGACCTTGAAAACCATTGTTACCGGTGGTGAAGCTATGTCAGAAAGGCCATTAAGGAATGGGTTGGGGGCCCAGCGGTAGTCAACGCATATGGCCCGACAGAGGCTTCAGTCGTGGCATCGGCCAGCTTGAAGGTCAACAAAGCGGGTGTTTCAGTGGACCAGAATCGATCTAATATCGGAACCGCTTGCGGATGTCGAACCTGGGTCGTTGATCCTCGCAACATCAACCGCCTAATGCCCGTGGGTGCTGTTGGTGAACTTCTTATTGAAGGTCGTACAGTCGCGCGAGGCTATATCAATAATCCCGAGAAGACGAGCGAGGTCTTCATCAGCAATCCAGCCTTCTCCAGGGAGCGCCGCTTCCGAAGCCTCTTCTCTCAAAGACACCGCATGTACCGTTCAGGGGATCTTGTTCGATACAATCCCGACGGTACGATCAACTACATCTCACGCAAGGATACCCAGATCAAGCTCAACGGCCAACGAATTGAGCTTGGAGAAATTGAATACCATTGCAAAGTGAATCTGCCTGACCAAACGCAAGCTGGAGTTGATCTGATAGTACCATCAGACAGAGCTAAGAAGACTCTTGCAGTTTTCTTTAGCGTCCCATCTGCCCGTAGCCAGCCGTCAACACTCACCAACACTGATGGTTCTCCCGCTGACGAACTGCTACTGCCTATGAACGATGCTATTAGGACAATCGCAAAGTCTCTCGAGACCAAGCTCGGTACCGCAATTCCAACATACATGGTTCCACACCTCTTCATCCCCATGACGAAGCTTCCTTGGTCTGCAGCTGGCAAGTTGGACAGAAATCGCCTCCGAAATATCACCCAGGCACTATCCAAAGAGTCTATCAAATCCTTCCGCCTTACTGGTGTTGCTGGGAAGCGTAACGTTTCTTCTACCGGGCTCGAGAGTAAGCTCCAGTCTCTTTGGGAGAGTGTTTTGGATCTCCCTAAGGGATCTGTCGGTACTGGTGACAGTTTCTTCCGTCTTGGAGGTGACTCGCTAGCTGCCATGCAGCTTTCAGGATCAGCTCGTTCTTCTGGAATCTCTCTTACATTTGCAAATATTTTCAAGCATCCTATCCTTGCTGACATGGCATCGGCATGTGTTGTGCTAAAAGGTGGCTCATCGATGGAAGTACGCCCATTCAGCCTGCTTAAGACCAATGAATCCATTGACGCGATCAAGACAGAAGTTTCCCAGCTCTGCCGCATCAACTCAGACCTGGTGCACGATATATACCCCTGCAGTTCTCTCCAGGAAGGCCTCATTGCTCTGTCGTTGAAGCAGCCGGGCGCTTATGTTGCTCATAACGTATTCAAACTCTCCCCTTCTCTCAACCTTGACCATTTCAAGGCTGCCTGGCAGAAGGCTGTTGATGATTTGACGACCCTCCGCACTCGCATCGTTCATACAGCTTCTTCAAACTTCCAACAGGTAGTTCTCAAGCATGAAGCCATTTCCTGGCACTCTGCACGGAGCTTGGAGGAGCTTTCTGGTGAAGCTGCCTCTGTTCCTCCATTCAATGGTGGTAGCCTGACCAAATACACTATTGTCCAGACTCCACGCTGTCGATACTTTACTTGGTCAATCCACCATGCCCTATATGATGGATGGAGCTTGCCCCTTATTCTTCAGCGGGTCGAATCCATCTACCGAGGACAAACTCCAGAGGCACCAAAGAGCTCATATGCAGACTTCATCAGCTATCTTTCAACAACCGATGAAGACAGTACTAAACAGTTCTGGACAGCTAAGCTTGCAGACATATCTTGCTCCAAATTCCCGCCTCTGCCACCGACCAAGGATCAGTCAGAAACCAGGACTCTTTCCCGTCACATTGCAACCTCGTCAGTAGGAGGTGTCACATTGCCGACCATCATTCGTGCGGCTTGGACACTAGTTTTGGCTAGCCACACTGCCTCTAACGATGTGTGTTTCGGTGAAATATCGACAGGCCGCAATATCAACGTTCCCGGCATTGCCGATATTGTCGGCCCAACCCTTACCACTATTCCCACTAGAATCCAAGTCAACCCCCAGGCAACGGTTGCAAATTTCTTGCAGGAGGTGCAACAAGACTCTGCAGATGTCGTTCCTCACCAGCATGCTGGTCTCCAATATATCAGAAGGTTGAACGGCGATGCGTCTGAAGCCTGCGATTTCCAAAATCTCCTTGTTATTCAAACCGCACAAGGAGAGGGTCAGGAGGATCTCTGGGAAATTCAAGCAAATGGAGACGTAAATAACTTCTTCACCTATCCGCTTGTCATCGAGTGCCAACTATCGAAGAAGGATGTCGGGGTCACGATATACCACAAGGAGGGTATCATCAGCACCTGGACCGTCGAGCGGATCCTGGATCAGTTCAGCTATGTCATGGACCAGCTGTTCAAGAAGGCACCCACCACCAAACTCAGCGAACTTGAAGTTCTTTGTCCCAAAGACAAGGAAACAATCAAATGGTGGAATCGACGCAAGCCGGTGCAAGTTAATGAGTGCGCCCACGACATATTCAATCGACTGGCGGATACGCAGGGAAACAAGCTGGCCGTGGTTGATTTTGAACGACAGCTAACATATCGCGAACTCAAAGATCTTTCTCTGCGGTTTGCTAAACTTCTTTCTGGACACGGCGTTGGCCCCGAGGTTTTCGTTCCTATTTGTGTTGATCGGTCTGCTTGGACCATAGTCGCGATGATGGCTGTGATAATGGCCGGAGGTGCATATGTGCCGTTGGACCCCTTGCACCCTAGCTCCAGGCACCAAGAGATTGTACAGGAGAGCGGTGCGAGACTGGCTATTTGCTCACCCGGGTATCTCGATCGCTTCTCGGCCTTTGTGGACACTGCTCTAGTGATTGATGAAACCACTGCCATGTCTCTCCCGAGTGTGTACTCACTCCCATCAAGGGCAAAACCACACAACAGTGCCTATGCCATCTTCACTTCAGGTAGCACCGGAAAGGCAAAAGGTATCGTTATCGAACATCGTGCCTTTGCCAGCGCCTCAGCTTCCTTGAGCGTCAACCTGTGTGTGCATCCAGATTCCCGAGTGTTCCAGTTCGCATCCGTTTCCTTCGATGCCTCAGTTTTGGAAATCCTTACTACTCTTACTATTGGTGCCTGCATCTGCATACCTAGCGAAAAGGAGCGTCTAGCAGATATCCCCGGCGCCATTTCCAGAATGAACGTTACCTGGACATTTTTGACACCTTCGGTTGCCAATGTTGTTGACCCCGATGCTACTCCATCTCTGAAAACCCTTGTCTGCGGAGGTGAAGCCATGTCCCGCGAGGTCATCGCTAGATGGGCGGATAAGGTCCAATTGATGAATGGCTACGGACCAACTGAGACGACCATTATTGCAGTCACCAATACAAAGACCTCATACGAAAAGTCCAGCCTCTCCATTGGTCATCCACTCCCATCGTCACTGGGCTGGGTCCTTGATCCAAGAGACCACAATAAGCTGGCTCCATTAGGCGCCATAGGAGAGCTGGCACTTGAAGGCCCTATTCTGGCCCGTGAGTACCTTAATTCTCCTGACAAAACAGCCGAAGGCTTCCCAGAGAATCCAGCATGGGCTACAGAGTTCCCAATAGCCTCTCAAGTAACCAGACGGATTCATAAAACTGGTGATCTCGTCAGATATACATCCCAAGGCGCCCTGGAATACTTCGGACGCAAGGATCATCAGGTCAAGGTGAACGGTCAGCGGTTAGAGCTCGGCGAAATCCAAAGTCGCCTGGACTCAAATACTGAGGTCCGACATGCCTTGGTTTTGATGCCAAAGGCTGGTCCCTGCAAGAAGAAACTTGTTACCATACTTTCTTTGGAAGATTTGGGCTCCGGTCGGGAGTTGTCGACCGGAAGCCTCGAGCTATTTGAAGAGAAATCTTTGGTCGAAAAAGCAAATGCAAAGATTGATAAAATTCAGGATGATCTTTCAAATCAATTGCCATCATTCATGGTCCCGCAGCTCTGGATACCGGTCAAAGCCATTCCTCTTCTTGTTTCAGGGAAGTTGGACCGCAAGCTGGCTCTAAAATGGATTGAGAACCTGGACCAGGAAACGTTCAACCGAATCAATCCATCCTCAGAGGAGGAGGAAGACAGCCCAGGTCAATCGACTGGGACAACGGAAATCCTGCGGGGGATCTGGGCAAGCGTACTCAATATTGACATTAAGGATGTCAAATTGAACAAATCTTTCATGAGCCTTGGTAAGTCACTAGTAATACCTAACCTGCCAAAATTACATCTAACTCTCGTATAGGAGGCGATAGTATCACTGCTATGGGTGTCATGTCCCGATGCCGCAAAGAAAATATTGAGCTTTCTCTTCATGACGTCTTGCGTACCAAGTCGGTAGTTCACCTTGCCAGCTGCGTTGGACATAAGGTGTCTGGTCCTCAGAAGGAGGAGGTTGTGGACGAGTTATTTGACTTGTCTCCTGTCCAGCAGTTATATTTCCGATCTTCTCAGTCTCAGGACGGAGACTCCCGGTTCAACCAGAGCTTCACTCTCCGAATTACCAAGCCGACGGACGCTCCCACGGTAAAGCTTGCTATTGAAGCTATAGTCGACAAGCACTCAATGCTCAGAGCCAGGTTCGTGCATGATGGAAACAGCTGGCGCCAAAAAATTACCAAGGTATGCTCCTACAACCCCTATATTTGTGCAGGCGATGTAGTTAATGGCTTCTTAGGATACCACCGGTTCTTTCCGCTGCCGAGCTCATGATAATGCAAGGAAATATGACATTCCTCGTATTATTAAAGACGCTCAAATGTGCCTGGACATTGAACGGGGCCCAATCCTGGCTGCTGAACTACTCAACACACAGAATGGAGAACAGTTCATTTTCATGACTGCCCACCACGTTTGCGTCGACATGGTGTCCTGGCGTATCATCCTCCAGGACCTAGAGGAGTTCATAGGAACCAAATCTCTTGCCATTGACAAGCCACTCTCATTCCAGTCATGGTGCTCTGCTCAAACCTCCCATTTGAAGACCCACGACACCAGCTCACTTCTTCCGTTTGATGTGAAGCCTTCAAACCTCTCATACTGGGGAATGGAAGGTACGCAAAACACCTATCATAATGCCGAATACGAAACTTTCCAGCTAGATAAAGCTACTTCCGGCCTTGCCCTGGGTGATAGCCACAAAGCGTTCCAGACGGAGCCAATAGATCTGTTCCTTACTGCGATCGTCCACTCCTTTGCGAGGGTATTCCAAGATCGAGAGGTCCCCACGCTATACAATGAAGGCCATGGTCGTGACTCATGGCAAGGAGGTCCTGACCTGTCCAGGACTGTTGGCTGGTTCACCAGCATTTGTCCGGCAACAATACCGGTGGATATGCGTAAGTTTCCCCTATCAGGGAGCCACTATCTTGAAGAAAGGCCTACTAAATTTGTAAAATAGAAAACGGAAAGGATGATGTATTGGATACCCTCAAGCGTGCCAAAGATATTAGACGCCAGATCCCAGATAACGGGCGACTCTACTTTGCCAACAGGTATTCAACAATGCATGCTTCTCAGCATGATGATACTTTCCCTATGGAAATCGTAGTCAACTACCTCGGTCGCATGCAACAGCTTGAACGTGATGACTCCCTTTTGCAACAAGCAGACCTAATTACGGACGAGGATGAGGCAAAGAGCACTGGTGACATGGGCCCAAGAACTATTCGTTTTGCTCTTTTCGAGATATCCGCTATCGTACTCCAGGATCAAATCCGCTTCACATTCATGTTTAACAAGAATATGAGACAGGTACAGCGCATCCGTCGATGGATCTCAGAGTGCAAGCAAACTCTACGTGAGACTGTTGATGCCATGAGCCATAGTGCTCCTGAGCCAACCCTCAGCGACTATCCTCTTTTGCCGATTTCATACGAAGCGCTTCAAAAACTCTCCAAGTCAGCCTTCCCGAGAGCTGGTGTTTCTAGTCGTGATCAGGTTGAGGATATCTATCCATGTTCTCCTATTCAAGAAGGTATCCTGTTGAGTCAGCTGAGAGACCCTGACAGCTACGTCTTCCACACCAGCTTCGAAGTTACCTCTGCCAAAGGGTCGAAGAGGATTGACGCACAGAAACTCGGTCGAGCCTGGCAACAAGTTGTTGACCGTCATGCTGCGCTACGTACGGTTTTCATTGACAGCCCGTGCCGAGGTGTTACCTTCTGCCAGCTGGTTGTTAAGGAAGTTAACAGTGGCGCTATCCACATCTCATCTGACAGTTCAAACGCAATGGATAAGATGAAGACAATCAGGCTCAAAGATAATAACGGCAAGAAACGCCCACAGCTACCCCATCAGATTACCATCTGCTCGAGGTCTGATGGTGGCGTCATAATCAAGATGGAAATCAATCATGCTGTTATTGATGGCGGCTCCGTATCCATCTTGATGGCAGACTTAGCTGCCGCGTACGAGGGCCGACTTCCAACCGGACAAGGTCCACTGTACAGCGACTACATTCTATTTATTCGAAGCCAATCAACGGCCGGTGAAATTAAATTCTGGAAGAATTATCTTGGAGGTCTGAAGCCGTGTCATCTCCCGCGGCTCGGCTCCGTCTCGGGCACCCAGAAACAGTTGCGTACAACCTTTGTCAAGTTTGAACGTTACCCAGAACTTCAAGCTATGTGTGAGCAGCAGAAGGTCACCATGTCCAATGTTATGCACGCCGCTTGGGCGGTCGTCCTACGGGCATATGTTGGATCAGACGATGTGTGCTTCGGGTACCTATCCGCCGGCCGTGACGCCCCTGTCAATGGCATTCAGGAGACAATTGGAGCATTTATCAACATGCTTTGTTGCCGTGTTGTCTTCTCCCCAGGAGCATCATTCCATGAAATTTTCCGCAAAGTTCAGGAAGATTATCTTGACAGCTTGCCATATCAGAGATGTTCCCTTGCTGAAGTTCAACATGAGCTAGGACTTGCAGGCAAGCCTTTGTATAATACGGCCATCTCTTCCCAGAATCATGCAAAATCCAGTGATGCTGTTGAAGAAGGCATCCTCTTCGAGCCTTTGGGTGGACATGATCCAAGCGAGGTAGGTTTTTTTTTTTTTGGCCTTCCAATTTTCTTATCTATCTATAATAACTTATTGAATTATAGTATGCTATAACCGTGAACGTTGAGACTGCTAAGGGTGATGAAGGCGTCCTTCTCCGATACTGGGACAATATGGTTAGCGAGGCTGAAGCTCAGAAGATGGCCGCAAGTATGGCCCACGTATTAACATCTTTCATCACTCGCCCTGAGCAGCTTGTTTCCGACTATGACCCAACGAAGATGACAGATTCAAGAATGCGCGAGGAGCTTCCCCAAAGTATTCGAGAAGAACCAAAGCAGGCCGAACTTGAGTCTAATCTTGCTCAAATGTCTACTGGGAACCTTAGCACGGAACAATTGCTCAGCAATAATGCCGAATTACGAAAGATCGTTGACTCCTGCGTCCAAGATATACTACAGAAAATGGCCAAATCAGGACAGCTTGCCACCAAGAGTGCTGATGAGATTTTGCTGAATAATTCCCGTCGAGATATTGGCGACAACAGCAAGGCCATGAGCACTGAGCAAACACTCCATCCCGAGTCCGTCAAGGGCATGGAACCCGAGACTGCCACCCCCTCTGAAGCCTGGGAGCAATCAGACTACAACCCCAAGACTGACACAGACCGGACGTCAATGGCAGCCCATATTAACAAGAGAGGAAGGTCAGCTCACATTGAGAAGAAGCTCCTGGTACTCTGGAGTTCCATGTTAGAAATGGATGAAGACTCAATTTCAGGAGAAGACAGTTTCTTCGAGTTAGGAGGCGACAGTCTCACAGCCATGAGACTTGTAGGAGCTGCACGAGATGAAGGCCTGTCACTCACAGTAGCTGATGTGTTCCGAAACCCTGTATTCGAGGACATGGTTGCTGTGATTCGTGTGGCTAGCATGATGAACACCTACGTTGATGGTGCTGATATGGATGACTTCAATGCACAAAGCCAGGCAATTCGATCAGCAGCCACGAGTGAACTCTACCAAAGATTCTCTCTAGTTAAGGCTCCCAACATCGATGCCTTCCTCCAAAACAACATTATTCCGAAGGTTGGTGTCTTCAAGGGAGGTATGGTAGATGTCCTTCCTGTGACCGATTTCCAGGCTCTTGCCATCACTGGCTCTCTCCTAGAATCGAGATGGATGCTCAACTACTTCTATCTCGATGGACACGGAGTCTTGGATCTTCGAAGGCTCAAGAGAAGCTTTATTCGCCTTGTCCACTCGGTTGACATTCTCCGTACGGTGTTCTTGCCCAGTGGTGACCGCTTCCTCCAGGTCGTTCTCCGCAAAATGCGCCCTGATTTCTTCGTCTATGAAACCGAGTCCAACCTTGATGAGTTTGTCGCAATGTTGCAGCAGCGAGATCGTGAGCAAGGCCCTCGTCTTGGTGAAGCGTTCGTTAACTTCACTGTTGTCAAAGAAAAAGATAGCAACCATCACCGGATCATTATGAGATTATCCCATGCTCAATATGATGGAGTCTGCATATCAAAGATCTTTAGCGCAATTCAAGCTGGCTATGACGATGAACCGCTTCCTGTGATGTCTTCGTTTGCCAGTTATGTTCGGTCTTCTGCCTCCACCATAACATCGGATCACTATCAGCACTGGAAGACTCTCCTCAAAGGCTCCAAGATGACAGAAATCGTCCGACGAGAGGGACCAAACTACCGACGATCAGCAGGTGCCACTAGTCAACTAAAACAAACGGTCCTGCTGCCTGCCATCGCCCACGGAAATATTACCACCGCTACAGTGATCAAGGCAGCGTGGGCAATGGTTCTAGCACAACTTTCAGGAAGTCCCGACGTTGTATTTGGCCACACAATCAGCGGTCGTAACACCACAGTTCCCGGAGTCGAGAGTACAGTCGGCCCCTGTCTTAACATTATCCCCGTCAGAGTACAATTCAGCGAACGTTGGACAGCACTTGATCTCCTACGTTTCGTTCAGGACCAGCAAGTCCGCAACATGTCATACGAAGCTCTCGGATTCCGTGAGATTACCAAGCATTGCACAGAATGGCCAGACTGGACCAACTTCACCACCGTTGTCCAGCATCAATTCGCTAGTGTCACTGGTGAGATGACTCTGGGCAGAAACACCTACACCATGGGAGCAGTTGGAACCGAGGAAGACTTTTCTGATTTCTCCGTTGTATCAAGCCTACAAGAGGGTGACAAATGTGAGATAGCGCTTGGCTTCTCACTCAACAGCTCAATCACGCCCATTTTCGCCCAAAAGGTCCTAAACATGCTTTGCAACACCATCTCCAACTTTATGGCCGACACAAGCATGGTCTTGCTTTCTCCTCAGCAGATATCAAAGATGCCACCCCAGACTATCGACGAAACTCAAAAACCATATGACAGCTATTTCCTTTCCTCACAGCTGCAAGACCTTACCCAGGCTGAGATTCTAGTTCTTTCCGATATTCTCAGCCGAGCCTGGCGTCAAGTCCTGGGAGAAGAGAACACAACAAGCTTAAACCTTGAATCTTCCTTCTTTGATCTCAACGGTGATATAATGGGTCTCGCACAGGTGGCTTGGCTGCTTGAGCAAGAAGGATTCACAGTGCGTGTGGAAGACCTTATTGATCACCCCACTATGCTGGGACAGATGGCTACCCTATGTTCTCAACGATCGATGGAGAAAGAAAAGGCTATCGAGGCCTCGTCATCTCAGAATTCAATCGAGGATGACTATGACTCTGTGCCGAATGCCAAGGTAGAAAAGAATTCCTGGTTCAAGGCTCTGGGCATGGCCAGACGAATGGTTCGACGAAATACCCGTCCTTCTTAAGCACTGCACTCATTCTAAATTGATATATCCCCCTGATATTCAGACACGGGGGCTCCTTGCATATGCTGCAGATTCTTATGTTATTGTGATAGTTAGCGATCTTTTACATGTTTCTTTCAGTTTACTTTGTCCATCTATTCTAACTAGATTGTCTTGTTGTTTTGTCGAGCGTTTGAAGCGATGAAGTTTGTATAGTTGGATAGCTTTCTCTATGCCTAATAGAATTTCCTTTATTAATTGTACAACATTCTACGGTGGTACCAGCCCTTTACTACTATATGTGTTTTCGAAGTAGGAACACTAATACCTAGAGTAGTTACTCTCGAGGCAGGGAATTGCTACAGAGGCACACACATAGCTATTGAAGGAAAAAAGCGGCGGAATGTAATATTTGAACTGGGTAAACGGCAGTGCTCTCTAAGGCCCTAACTTCGATATCTACAAAGGCTACCAAATTGCCCTCTACATAGGTTGAGATGTTCAAAGTTGACGGCAAATAGCTGTCATCACGTGTGAAGTAACTACTTATGGAAACCGACCCCCAAGCCCGGAGTTCCAAGGTTATGACATCACCGATTCTATTGAGGCTGAAGGGGGATAAAAAAAGATCGAGTAGAAGTAGGAGAAAGATATCGACATAAGTTGCAACAGAATATATTGATTGCGAAGTACCTGTTTAACGCTACTCACAAGTGCTTAATCATGGCTGAAAACTCCAACGTCGGCACTAGGACCATCTATGAAAGCAATGAGCAACGCAATGTCACTCGGTCTGAGGTTGAAAATGCCCGCCGAAACAGAGACAACCCCCCTGACTCCAACAGACGGGGCAGTGCACATGAGAAAGAACAGAAGTCAAGGGGGAAACACTCTCCAACTGATGACGAGCTGGCGAAAATAGATCCTACTGCTCCGGTAAGTCCATCAGGAAATATCTTTTTCAGATAGTTGGAAAGCTTGCTCTAATGGAAACTCTACGGTACTCCAGGCTCGGATGCATGGCCACAAGCCATCTCGCGGCGCACAGGTAGATGCTGAGCTGAAGAGGGAGGATGAGGAGAGGATTCGACAGAAACAAGGCTTATAAACAGTCCTGATAGTACGAGAGGGTTCGCAAGACTGCGTTGTAGGACTGGTATAAAAAAGGGATGCACAAGGGTAAATTGTAAGAAATAAATGTAAAACAAGCAGCAGTATAGGAAGTAGTCATATGAAGATATTCTTTTTTTGTGACAGAAAAGCAAAGAAGCCGAGTCTGATAGTTAAGCAACGAGCTTCTTTTTTAAACAGAGGTTCAGAACGCCAATAGTTAGTCAAAACTCCTCGCCGGGTCTACTCCATCTCAATAGTGCCTGGGGGTTTGCTTGTAACATCATAAAGTACACGGCAGACACCATTGACCTCATTCACGATTCTGCGGCTCACTTTCTTCAGGAAGTTCCCGTCAAATGGATACCAGTCTGCAGTCATGAAGTCGGTGGTCTCAACGGCACGAAGGGCAATTACTTGCTCGTGTGTACGCTTGTCTCCCATAACTCCGACGGCTTTCACTGGTAGGAGGGCAGCGAAGGCCTGGCTGATATTGCGGTATAGGCCAGCAGCCTTTATTTCGTCGATGAAGATCGAATCGGCGTGGCGGGCAATACGGATCTGGTCGGGAGTAACCTCTCCAAGAATACGGATGGCAATTCCGGGTCCAGGGAAGGGGTGTCGCCATACTAAGTCTTCGGGAATTCCAAGGTTTGTCCCTAGACTGCGAACCTCGTCCTTGAACAGTTCGCGGAGAGGCTCGATGAGCTTCAGGTGCATTCCCTTGAGCAATCCTCCGACATTGTGATGGGTTTTGATGGTGGCACTGGGACCCTTGAAAGAGATACTCTCGATAACATCCGGGTAAAGGGTTCCCTGGAGGAGCCATTCGATCTTATCACCTTCCTTGTAGCCAGCTGATTCTTCAACAAGGGTCTTTGCAGTGTCCTGGAAAATTTCGATAAAGGTATTGCCAATGATTTTTCTCTTCTGCTCTGGGTCAACGACACCCTTTAGACGGCCGAGGAATTTCTCACTGGCATCGATGACGGTCAAGTTGATTCCGAGGTTTTTCGTCAGGGTTTCCCGGACTATTTCAGCCTCGTTGAGTCTCATGACACCATTGTCAACAAGGACAGCATGGAAACGGTCGCCGATAGCCTCTTTCATCAGCTTTGCAGCAACGGTAGAGTCGACTCCACCGCTCACAGCACCGATGACCTGGCCGTGTTCACCGACCATAGCACGTATCCTCGCCAGCTCCTTGTCGACGAATTTCTCCATCGTCCATTCCTGCTTAGCACCGCAGATTTTGACAGCAAAGTTATCCAATACCTGCTTTCCGCAGGGAGTATGGGTAACCTCTGCATGGAACTGAATGCCAAAGTACGGCTTCGTCTGGTGCGCAATACCAGCATAGGGCGCGTTAGATGTCGTGGCGATGATTTCAAATCCCTCGGGAAGCTGAGACAGCTTGTCTCCGTGTGACATCCAGACTTCAAGCTTGTCGTCCAGACCCTGGAACAAGCGGTCGATATTGGCCTGGTCCTTTTCTCCATGCCTCTGGATGTTCAGGTAGGCGTGCCCGTACTCCTTGTTGTCACTGGCGGCAACATTTTTACCATGATGCCACGCGAGTTCCTGTAGGCCATAGCAGATACCGAGGATCGGGACACCCAGGTCAAAGACCGCCTGGTCGACGTGGGGAGCATCCTGGTCATATACGGAGTAGGGACTGCCCGAGAGAATCACTCCGGTGGGCTTCCAGGACAACTCGGCAATCTTCTGGGTGCATGGCAGCAGCTCCGAGTAGATATTGAGCTCACGGAGACGTCGTGTGATCAAATGAGAGTATTGTGATCTGCATAATCCCCGGTATCAGTTCTGTAGTTCCAATGCGACTTTGGAGGGGGTATTCCCAGAGTGACTCACCCAAAATCAAGGACGAGAATGGTATCAAACGCCTTATGAGGCTCATTGGCAGCTTCAACGGCAGACATTCTGGCTTTCTATTATAGAGCCTCCCCCTAGGAATAGTTTATAAACAATAGAGAAGACTTCAATTGACGCCGTGGGCGGGAGTTTGATATCCCCCGCGAGAGGGAAGAAAAAAAAAAGGAAGAAAAAAATATCCAAAAAAGCGAAGAAAAAAAAAAAAAAAAAGATCAAGCGATAAGATAAGCAGTGGGGTGGTTTCCTATCGCGGTTTAGCGTCTCCGGACTTTGGGATCTTTTTTATTTTTATCTTTATTCTCTATTTTATCTATTATTTATTATTTTGTACAAACAAAACAAGAGAAAAGGACGAAGCTGGCTTGAAGAAGTTTGCAAGGAGCTAAGAATCTAAAGGAGTACTGGCTGATTGTGTTTGTCGAAAACATATTGGCCGCAATGGGAAAACGGAAGCAGTTGAAGGATGTTGAGATGAAGGACGGCGCGGCGGAGGACAGCAGCGACGAGGTAAGGAAATGCACCCATTGACTGCTATAGCTGGGCTAGATATACTAATAGCATAGGATAGGATGTTGATATTATCAATGTTGACTTTGAATGGTTCGATCCCCAGCCCGCGGTGGACTTCCACGGTCTGAAAGTGCTGCTGCGCCAGCTCTTCGACTCGGACTCACAGCTGTTTGACCTGTCTGCGCTGTCTGATCTGATTCTATCACAGCCATTGCTGGGTTCTACAGTGAAGGTCGACGGCAATGAGACGGATCCATATGCTTTTCTTACAGTTCTCAATCTACATCAACACAAGGTAGGTGATATTTAAGGTGAATTACGCTTATTGTGGATGGCTCACTGAACCGGTTTCTGTGTAGGATGTACCTGTAATCAAGACATTAACAGACTATATCCGAACCAAGTCGTCGCACCCTGAGTGCTCAGCACTGAATCAGCTGCTCTCCCAGCCGGAAATCCCCCAGATAGGGCTCATACTGACTGAACGTCTGATAAACGTACCTGCCCAAGTGGTTCCTCCGATGTACACCATGCTGTTGGAGGAGATAGCATGGGCCCTTGAGGAGAAGGAGCCGTACAACTTCACGCATTATCTCATAATATCAAAAACATACCAAGAAGTCGAGTCGAAGCTGGACCAGGAAGACGACCGGCCACAGAAGAAGAAGAAAAAGGCCGGCAACGAAGGCTCTGAGACGTTCTACTTCCATCCCGAAGACGAGGTACTGCACAAGCACGCCCTATGCTATACGGGATATAACTATACCCACGAGACGGAGGGACAGTCGGACTCGAAGAGAGCGTTCCAAGAACTAGGAATCCATCCGCAGGACCATATGATCTTGATAGAAGCGTCCAAATTTGAGGCCGCCGTGGCCAACCTGAAGGAATTCCTGAACCCATCCTCGTGAATGGCAATACAATAAAAAAAAACGTCGAAGAATTAAAAGAAGTCTATTCAATTTTTTGTTCACGATTAGAGGTGGTCGTAGCCCTAAATAAACAGCCGGCTGGTAGTGGTCCACAGTATTTCCTGCCGCTTCGTCTAACCGGAAAACCCGTGATTATTATTGTCTGTGAGAAAAGAAAGGAGTCGACTTATTTGTCTTCCCACTCGGTTCCTTTCAGTCGCTGCATTAGATACTCCACCTCGACGAACTTTGTCACTGGAATGACGCTATACTGTAGAATTTGTTAGTCAGGCGTGGTAGATGAATGAGATACTGGAGCATCACCCACCTTGTACATGGAGACGACGGCCTCAAAGTCGATCTTGGACTTGCCCTCACTCGGATTTGCCGGGTCTCTTCCGTAGGTCTTTGCCTTTAGCCGTAGCCGGTCGAGCACCATCCTCTCTACCTTGGAGTTGGTGATGGCCTCTTCAATGCCATCCCGGTCCTCGGCCTTGATCAGCTTGACGAACTTGTCCGTCTCGGCCAGGAACTTCGACTCTGCGACGAATTTACCGAAATGGATCCTCCGCGAGAGTGCCTGCAGACAGCTGACGTCGCTTGTGGCCGAGGAGCCGTAGTTCTCCTGCGCTTCACCCCTGTCTCTGGACTTGCATAGCGACGGCAGGATCTCGTTGATGTAGCGTGACTTGATCACATCGTTGACATTGACGTCGTTCTCGTGCAGGATCTTGGGGTATTGGAGAGGCTGTAGGATGGGCGTCTCAACGACGTCGGGGAAGAAAGGGTATTCGTCGGGGGACTGGTAGCGACGGACACGGGACTGGAGACGTTCCTGCTCGCTGAGGACGTAGTCCATGAGACTGAGCTCGCTGCCAGGGATCTTGACGGCGCCGGGGATGTATATTCGTCTGTTGAGCGGGAACTGGACTCTCTCGATAAGGTGGAAGGTGATGGTATCCTCCAGGCGACTACATGAGTCAGGCCAACCGCTATCAAAGCTGCAGGGAGGCAACAAGAAAAAGAGAACAATGACTTACATGAGCTGGAAGCGGATGTTCTCCAGGTCCAGCGCCTTGGAGGCGTCCGAGAGATCGATGGAAGCGTCCATGCTGCAGGCGCAGGTGCTGTGGTCGTCGGGCGTCTCAGGCGCAAGTCGAGCTTCAAAAGGTTTATAGATCTCAGAGCTCTCGCGATCTCGGTTCCGGGCCGAAGAACCTACGGCTGGGATATGGAGGCAAAGCGACAGGGGTAGCAGGACCAGGGAGGCCAGACAGACAGAAGCTCGCATCGGACTACAGAAAGACGAAGCAGAAGAACGAAGAAGGAGAGCAGTCGACGGCGATAGCTGTCTTATATATCTTTGTTGGTGAGTCAGGCTGTGAAGCGCACAGAGTGAGTGGCCAGAGGACTCTTCTTATTTCCTTTTTGCTGGTGGCTTGCGAGTCAAGCCACTGCAAGGCTCTTCCTGGCCAGCTTGAATCGACGGATGCTGCAGAGGAGCTTACGAGCTGCCGGTTTGATAGCAGGGACTGTGCTATAGATGGCTGTCTACAGGGGCCGTATAGATGTCTTGCAGCTGCGACTCGATATAGACTTGGACTGCGTGGTAGCGGATATACGGCCGTTTAGCAGACTTCTTCTTTGCCTTAGGCTTCCCTGCCATCCTCCGGTCTCTCTACTACCTACTATTCACCTACTACTCACTTACTATCTCTTCTATTTCTCCTTTATATCTCTTTTTATCCGTCTTCATCGCCGTCTGTCTCTCGCCCCAACCTCGGCATCTAGAGAGCGTAAAATACCGTAATCTATAACCATAAATACAGTCTTGGCGCCCTTTTCCAAGCTGCAAACTTGGAAAACAAAAAACGCCATAAAAAACATCCCAACGTCAAGCGTTTTCCTTCTCTACAAAACACGCAAAAGGTCGACAACGCCAGCGAGCCCGCAAGCCAGCCGCAGGAAGAGCTTGCAAGTCAATGGCCGGTTGAACAGAGGCAGCGTGAGGCTACATGGCTGCTTAGCTGCGTACAGACAGACACCCACACAGACAGAGAGAGAGAGAAAGAGTGCTAGGGATTGCATAGCTACCTCCCAGTTTCGACCGCCTCTTTCACCACCCTCCTCCCACTTGCTCTATCATGGCCGGCAATCCAGCGCGGAGCCGCTCTGGCTCTGGCGCCTCTCACTACGGAATGGGCGACGATGAAGGCTCTGTGCTGGGAACAGGGCTGACTGTGAGTATTTTCTTCGCGCCAGGACGAGGTTTGTTTAGATGCTAACAAAAGGTACTTGGAATAAACTAGTCCCGCCAGCTGGAGGCGTTTGGCCGCAAAGTCACGACTACAGCATCTCATCTTATGAGCACCACGACTGATCCCACCGTCAGTGCCCACTACCAGGCAGCCATGTCGGGCATCCAGCGAGAGCTGCGACGACCCGGGGCCCAGAGGAGGATGTTTGCATTCGCGCAGACGACGCCTACCGAGCTTGTACGCTCCAAGTTTTCCACGTCGGAGATCCAGTACCGCGCTCTCTCTTCCCTGCCAGATGACCTCCTACAACATCTCCCCGAGGATACAAGTACATACTCGCTTTTCCAAGGGTTTCAGGCCTCGATCCACGATGCAGATAACGAGCACAGGAAGTCTCATCGGAGGCGAAGTTCACATGGCCAGAAGCGGTTGGAGGATGTAGATAGAAATACAGGTGCCCTGCCACCTACAATAGGCCATTTGAAGCGGGAACGAGACTCGTTGAACCATCGGCTGGAAATGATGGGGGTGCGGAAGAACATGTGCAGTGCAGAGATACACGAGATTGACAACAAGATTATGAACCTGAACAAGATGCGCAAGATTGTGCTGGACCGTCTGGCTGGCCTGGAGATGGACGAAGCTGATTTGGAACATGAATGTAAGTCTAGAATAAAAGAGAGAAGAAGAAGAAAGGCGGTGGTAAGCTAACGAGGAGGGTCGCGACACACAGTGGTACAACTAGATAACCGGCTGGAGGATATGGAGGACGCTCTGGACGAGTCTGTGGCAGCGGCCACGACAGCTACGCCCAAGACGGGCGATATTCCCAGTTCTCCGATCGGAGACGGCGAAGGTGATTCGTCGTTCATGTCCGAGTCTATCTACGAGAAGATTCCTTCACCGAAGGCCTGGAGACACAAGACATCGAGTGCGTATCCCCATTCGTTTGACTATATGTTTTTGTTCGGAAGCTTACAATGTGGACATAGAGAAACGGTCGACACCGGTTCTCCACGAGCATTTGAGCCTGGGTCTCTGATAAGAGAATTGCAGGCCCATAATGATATGATCGCCGCTCTGGACTTCGACGTCCCCTTCGGCACGATGGTCAGCGCCGCCCTGGATGACACAGTGCGAGTGTGGGACCTGAACCTGGGGCGGTGCATGGGCTTCCTGGAGGGCCACCACGCCTCGGTGCGGTGCCTGCAGGTGGAAGACAGCATCGTGGCCACCGGCTCGATGGACGCTTCTATCCGGCTGTGGGACCTGAGTCGCGCCAAGTACGAACCACGCGACCACCGGGCCAACAGGGACGACGAGGACGACGAGGACGCACTAGGCTTCGAGGACCCAGCCGCAGCGCCGCCCACGCCTCCGCCGTCGAGCATGGACGAGTGTCCCCTGTTCAGTCTGGAAGCTCACGTAGACGAGGTGACGGCACTGCACCTGCGTGGAGACACGCTGATATCCGGGTCTGCGGACAAGACGCTGCGGCAGTGGGATCTGGTCAAGGGCCGATGCGTGCAGACGCTCGATGTGCTCTGGGCAGCGGCACAGGCGTCGTCGACGATGGCGGCGGGCGATTCAGCAGCATGGCGGCCGACGGGTCGTCTGCCGGACGCCTCGGCAGACTTTGTCGGTGCCTTGCAGTGTTTTGATGCGGCGCTGGCGTGTGGAACGGCAGATGGGATGGTGCGTCTATGGGATCTGCGTAGTGGACAGGTACACCGGAGTCTGGTCGGACACACTGGGCCAGTGACATGTTTGCAGTTTGACGACGTCCATCTAGTCACTGGCAGTATGGACCGGAGCATACGTGTGAGTTTATTCTCTGCTTCTTTCTCTCTTTTTTTTTTTGGATTCTTTATTATAGCAGGTGAGACTAATCTGGATAGATATGGGATCTTCGCACGGGAACCATCCACGATGCGTATGCGTACGACCGGCCAGTCACAAGCATGATGTTTGACACCCGACGCATTGTGGCTGCGGCTGGCGAGGACGTGGTGAAGGTGTACGACAAGACGGACGGGCGACACTGGGACTGTGGCTCAGGGGTAGCATCCGAGGACGACGGCCGAGCACACAGCATCGTCGAGCGCGTGCGCATCAAGGACGGCTATCTGACCGAGGGACGCAAGGACGGCACCATCGGCATCTGGAAGTGCTAGCCAAAGCACTCGACCTCGCCGTCGCTGTGCCTCTCTTCCTGATATATAACTATCTTGCCCCCCCTTTTTATTTAGACTTTTATGTATAAATAAACGGTCCCTGTTAAAGCGGCAACAAGCAATGTATATAAGTGATGCCCAAAGTAGAAGTCAACTCATGCTGCTTTAAGGCTGTTTTCTGTCACGAAAACCTCGCGCTAGTCCTGATTAGGTAATTACAACAACACAAAAAACGCCGTCGCTTTTTGGCTGCGAAGAAAGAAGAAGAAGAAGACGAAGCAGTGAAGGCGAGAGTGAAGAGTAAAAAGCTGGATCATTGAGGGCCGAGTCCAGAAAGAAGTAGCTTGTTCTTTTACGTTGTTGACATTTTGCATTGTGCGGGCCTGGCGTCTTTATTGTTTATTCTTTCTCTTTGATTGGGAGCGCGTCATAGTTTTTGGTGACTTGATATTGAACTGATATTGAACCGATATTGAACTGATATTGAACTGATATTGATACCCCGACTATCTGGATGTCTCTGATGTCTGTTGATGATATCCATGTCCAGTGTTGGCGTCTGCTATAGCTCATCAACATTGCAAGATCTGCTATTATACCTATTGATCGAGGACGGTACTCGATAGAGCGAGTCGAGTCGAGTCAGACTGAATATACCCCGTATCCAGAGGACAGGACAGACAGTACTATTCGTCTACATCTACATTGTCCAAGAAAGAGAGACAGAGATAGTGTTGGTGTCCTGGTGCTGTGTTGCTGCAGAGTTCACATACCGGACAATAGCTTATAAGGGGGGCTGGGAGGACAGGCAGGCAGCGGCTGGCCTGACGAATGGCTTAGATCGCAGGCCAGAGTCGACGTTGAATAGCAGAGACTTTTGTCCTCTGGTGGGCGTGTGTTCCTGTCGGTGGCTGGGGGGGGATATATATAAGGGCCACCTGCTCCCTTAAGATTGAACGGCTTGAAGTAGGTCTCGTCTCGTCCACTACCATTACCTCTACTATCACTGCTACCATTACCCTGCCATTACTTCTACCACTTCTACTATCACTTCTACTACTGCTACCACTTCTACCACTTCTACCACTTCCACTGCTATCACTGCCACTTCCCAGTCTGACGAGTACAGAATGGCACCACCAAGACGCACGCGGCGTCTGACGCCCTCCGCTGCTGCCGGCGCCTCCAACGAGGCAGATAACCCATATCTGCCGAGCATCGAGACGCAGCAGACCTTCTCGTACGGGGGGTCTGCGACGCCCGCCCTGCCTCGCCCGCTCGGCTCTCTCCCTGCCGCCAACACGGCAGCCGACGTGGCGGCCAGCATCGAGGCCGCCATCACCCGCCCAGCCCGTCCAGCCGCAGCCGCCCGCCCACTGACCGAATCGGCGGGCTTCCACCAGATCGAGGACGAGGCACGAAAGAGCCCCGAGAAGCAGCAGGTGACGCGGGGCCAGCAGCGGCGGGCCGAGAGCATGACGCCGCCAAGGGAGCCCGTCCGGCGCATGACGCCGGACATCCAGCTGATGGGCTCGCTGAGAGAGGCCTCGGGGGAGCCAGAGGACCAGCAGCAGCAGCAACAACAGCAGCAGCAGCAGCAACAGCAACAGTCCGACCCAGTGGACCTCCTGGCCGATGCAATTGACGGGTCGAGCATCAGCTGGAACACGGAGCGCCATCTGCTAGCGAACGAGCGCCCTACCTTTGGCCTGACTGGCTGGCCTCGGCCTACTTCTTCGAGACCTCAGATGTCTCCATCTCAAGCCAGCAGCACATCCATCCAGCAGCAGCATCCTCAGCAACATCCCCAGCAACATCCACAGCAACATCCACAGCAACATCCACAGCAACATCCACAGCAACATCCAC